AAATAAACAACCTAACCTTACACATAAAGCAACTAGAAAAAGAACAAAAAAAATAGTTGAAGGAAAGAAATCATAAAGATCAGAGCAGAAATAAATGAAATAGAAACGAAGAAAACAATAGCAAAGATCAATAAAACTAAAAGCTGGTTCTTCGAGAGGATAAGCAAAATTGATAAACCTTTAGCCAGACTCATCAAGAAAAAAAGGGAGAGGACTCAAATCAATAAAATTAGAAATGAAAAAGGAGAAGTTACAACTGACACCACAGAAATACAAAGGATCATAAGAGACTACTACAAGCAACTCTATGCCAATAAAAAGGACAACCTGGAAGAAACGGACAAATTCATAGAAAGGTACAACCTTCCAAGACTGAACCAGGAAGAAATAGAAAATATGAACAGACCAATCACAAGTAATAAAATTGAAACCGTGATTAAAAATCTTCCAACAAACAAACGTCCAGGACCAGATGGCTTCACAGGTGAATTCTATCAAACATTTAGAGAAGAGCTAACACCTATTCTTCTCAAACTCTTCCAAAAATTGCAGAGGGCAGAACACTCCCAAACTCATTCTATGAAGCTACCATCACCCTGATACCAAAACCAGACAAAGATATCACAAAAAAGAAAAATACAGGCCAGTACTACTGATGAACATAGACACAAAAATCCTCAACAAAATACTAGCAAACCTAATCCAACAGCACATTAAAAGGATCATACAGCATGATCCAGTGGGATTTATCCCAGGAATGCAAGGATTCTTCAATATACGCAAATCAGTCAATGTGATACACCATATTAAAAAATTGAAGATAAAAACCATATGATAATCTCAATAAATGCAGAAAAAGCTTTCAGTAAAATTCAACACCCATTTATGATAAGAACTCTACAGCAAGTGGGTATAGAGGGAAGATACCTCAACATAATAAAGGCCATATATGACAAACCCACAGCCAACATCATTCACAATGGTGAAAAACTGAAACCATTTCCTCTAAGATCAGGAACAAGACAAGGACGTCCACCCTGGCCACTATTATTCAACATAGTTTTGGAAGTCCTAGCCACAGCAATCAGAGAATAAAAAGGAAAAAAAATTCCAAATTGGGAAGGAAGAAGTAAAACTGTCACTGTTCACAGATGACATGATACTATACATAGAAAATTCTAAAGATGCCACCAGAAAATTACTAGAGCTAATTAATGAATTTGGTAAAGTTGCAGGATACAAAATTAATGCACAGAAATCTCTTGCATTCCTATACACTAACAATGAAAAATCAGAAAGAGAAATTAAGGAAACAATCCCATTTACCACTGCAACAAAAAGAATAAAATACCTAGGAATAAATCTCCCTAAGGAGGCAAAAGACCTGTATGTAGAAAACAATAAGACACCGATGAAAGAAATCAATGATGACACAAACAGATGGAGATATATACCATGTTCTTGGATTGGAAGAACCAACATTGTGGAAATGACTCTACTACCCAAAGCAATCTACAGATTCAATGCAATCCCTAACAAATTACTAGTGGCATTTTTCACAGAACTAGAACAAAAAACTTTACAATTTGTATGGAATCACACAAATAGCCAAAGCAATTTGGAAAAAGAAAAACGGGGGACTTCCCTGATGGCCCAGTGGGTAAGCCTCCATGCTCCCAATGCAGGGTGCCCAGGTTCGATCCCTGGTTGAGGAACTAGATCCAGCATGCCTGCCACAACTAAAAGTTTGCATGCCGCAACTAAGAGTCTGCATGCTGCAACTAAGAAGTCCGCATGCGTCAACTAAGAGTCCTCATGCCACAACAAAGAAATCCGCATGCCTCAACTAAGAGCCCACATGCTGCAACTAAAGATCCCACATGCTGCAACTAAAGATAGCACATGCTGCAACTAAAGATCTCGCGTGCCGCAACAAAGATCCCACATGCCACGACTAAGACCTGGCACAGCCAAAAATAAATAATAAGTAAATAAATAATTTTTAAAAAAATAGAAAAATGGAGCTGGAGGAATCAGGCTCCCTGACTTCAGACTATACTACAAAGCTACAGTAATCAAGACAGTATGGTACTGGCACAAAAACAGAAATATAGATCAATGGTACAGGACAGAAAGCCCAGAGATAAACCCACACACCTATGGTCACCTAATCTATGACAAAGGAGGCAAGAATAAACAATGGAGAAGAAACAGTCTCTTCAATAAGTGGTGCTGGGAAAACTGGACAGCTACATATAAAAGAGTGAAATTAGAACACTCCCTACACCATACACAAAAATAAACTCAAAATGGATTAAAAACCTAAATGTAAGGCCAGACATTATAAAACTCTTAGAGGAAAACATAGGCAGAACACTCTGACATAATATGCAGCAAGATCCTTTTTGACCCACCTCCTAGAGTAATGGAAATAAAAACAAAAATAAACAAATGGGACCTAATGAAACTTAAAAGCTTTTGCACAGCAAAGGAAACCATAAACAAGACGAAAAGACAACCCTCAGAATGGGAGAAAATATTTGCAAACGAATCAACGGACAAAGGATTAATCTCCAAAATATACAAACAACTCATGCAGCTCAATATCATAAAAACAAAAAACCCAATCAAAAAATGGGTGGAAGGCCTAAATAGACATTTCTCCAAAGAAGACATACAGATGGCCAAGAGGCATGTGAAAAGATGCTCATTATCGCTAATTGTTAGAGGAAGGCAAATCAAAGCTACAGTGAGGTACCACCTCACACTGGTCAAAATGGCCATCATCAAAAAGTCTACAAACAATAAATGCTGGAGAGGGTGTGGAGAAAAGGGAACCCTCTTGTGCTGTTGGTGGGAATGTAAATTGATACAGCTACTATGGAGAACAGTATGGAGGTTCCTTAAAAAACTAAAAATAGAATTACCATATGACCCAGCAATCCCACTACTGGGCATGTAGCCAGAGAAAACCATAATTCAAAAAGACACATGCACCCCAATGTTCACTGCAGCGTTATTTACAATAGCCAGGACATGGAAGCAACCTAAATGTCCATCAACAGAGGAATGGATAAAGAAGATGTGGTGCATATATACAATGGAATATTACTCAGCCATTGAAAGGAACGAAATTGGATCATTTGTAGAGACGTGGATGGACCTAGAGACTGTCATACAGAGTGAAGTAGGTCAGAAAGAGAAAAACGAATATCATATACTAACGCATATATGTGGAATCTAAAAAAAAATGGTATAGATTGCCTTCTTTGAAAAGCAGAAATAGAGACACAGACGTAGAGAACAAACGTATGGATACCAAGGGGGAAGGGAGGGGTGGGATGAATTGGGAGATGGGGATTGACATATATACACTATTGATTCTATGTACAAAATAGGTAAGTAATGAGAACGTATAGCACAGGGAACTCTACTCAATGCTCTGTGGTGACCTAAATGGGAAGGAAATCCAAAAAACAGGGGATGTATGTATATGTGTAGTTGATTCACTTTGCTGTACAGTAGTAGAAACTAACACAACATTGTAAAGCAACTATACTCCAATAAAAAAAGAAATTAAAAAAAATTACCTCAGAATCTATCATACACCTAGTAAAACCTGAAACAATAAGACATATAGAAAAAAATAGTAGAAAATCTTTGTGACCTTATGCTAGGCAAAAATTTATTACATGACACATAAAGAAAGATCCATATGAGAATAAATTAATAAAATGGAGTTCACCCAAATTAATGTACTCTGCCCTCTTAAAAATACTATTAGGAGAATGAAAAGACAAACCACAGCTGGAGAAAAAAATATTTGCAAAGTTTATATCTGATAAAGGACTTCAATGCAGGATATATGTACATTTTTTAAAATACCACTCAATAATAAGAAAACAAACAATTCAATTTTTTAAATGGGCAAAGTATTTGCACACACTTTGCCAAAATGATATATGGGTAACTAATAAGCACATGAAAAGGAGCTCACCAGCATCTGTCATTAGGGGAATAACAAAATTAAAACCATACCTATTACAATGGATAAAATTTAATGTGTGACCATGCAAAAAGTTGGGAAGGGTGTGGAGGAACTGGTAGAAATGTAAAAGAGTAAAAGCTAATTGAAAAACATTTTAGCAATTTCTTAAAAAGTTAAACCGATGTCTACCCTATGATCTAGCCATTCTACTCCTAGGTATTTAACCAAGAGACAAGAAGGTATATGTTCATACAAAGACTCGAATACAAATACTTCTTACTTATCTAAGTCCTGAGCACCAGCCAAAAACCTAGAGCCGTACAGACACAAGGAATTGTGAATGGATGAAGAGACCAATGTGTGGACCAAAAGAGAAACAAACTCATGGAAACAGGAACAGATGATGGATGGGTAGGGGATAAATGAATAGATGAATAGATTAGCCAACAAATTGATAGTGAGATGAATGGCGAAATGAATGGACAGAAACAAATCTACAAAAGGATGAAGATGAAGGGATGAATGAGAGATGGAGAGGAAAAAAGGGAGATGGATGGATGAACAAATAGGCAGAAGCACTGGATGAATGGATGGATGGACGGATGGATGGACAAAATACAGGAAGAGTTCATAAGCATAAGAGCAGATCATTTCTTATTTATCGCTGTTGTTCCAGTGCCCACAAAAGGACCAGTCATTAGATGTTAGCTGCTCAATACATATTTTTTGAAGGAATGAGTGAAAGATTGAGGTACGGTGTTATTGTGGAGTTTAGAACTGAGAGTCAGAAGACCTGATTTCCATCTCTATTCGTATCCTCAAGTTATCTATGTGAACATGAGCAACTCAACATCTTCAATTTACTCTCCTGTAAAATGGGTAGACTGGATTAAATGATTTCTAAGGTCTTTTCCAAACACTCTTGTGTTCCCTGATTTGAAGCTTCACAATATAAGATAAGCCTATGGGATGGGAGGAGAGGCCACATTAGAGCAAATGTGTGTTTACTTACAACTTGTCCCAATGCAGAGCTGATCCCAGATCTCTGCCAGCAACGGTGGAGAAGAGTTAACACACTCCAGATGAGATTCTGTTCAAACTGTCTGGCTGAAAGCCTGTGGTGGAAATGAAAGACAGGCTGAGAGGAGAGCCTGAGGGGTAATTAAGAGTGAAAGATGAACCTCCGTAAGGCTGTACCCAGCCCAAGTTGAAAGGAAGGCAGGAAGGGCCAGGCTACACAAAGCCTCCTTGGCTGCTGGCCAAATGCACCCTTTATCCAGAAGGATGGTTGCTTGTTCACAGAGCACGTGTTCTGTCCTGCCAGAGTCTCTCCTGGACTCCTGGTGTGCTCTGGGGTAATAATTGTACTGAGAACGCATCTATCATTAGTTGTAGAACAATATGTGCCAGGCACGGTCTATATATCACCTCATCACTTCTCCCAATAACCCTGGGAGGCAGTAATGCTGATCTTCACTTCAGGGAGGAGAATAACGTAGTTAGTAAGTGGCAGATTGAGGACTTGAACCCAGGGCAGTTTGGCTGCCTGTCTATGGACAAGTGCCCTGGAACTGGTCAGGTAACAATTCAGAGACTTCAGATTTCATTTACTTTTTAAATTTAGGTATAATTTTATAATATATATGTTATTGCTACATTATAACATTATATTGATTTAAGGTATACAATGTAATGATTCACTATTTGTATACATTGCAAAATAATCTCCACAATAAGTCTAATTAACATCTGTCACCATACATAGTTACAATTTTTTTCTTGTGATAAACTTTTAAGATCCACTCTCTTAGAAACATTCAAATATGCAATACACTGTTGCTAACTATAGTCACCATGCTGTACATTATATTCCAGGACCCACATATTTTATAACTGAAAGTTTGCACATTTTGACCTTCAGTCATCTCTCCCACTCCCCCACCCCCTACCTCTGGCAACCACCAATCTGTCCTCTGTATCTATAAGCTTGGTTTGGGGTTTATTTTTTAGATTCCTCATATAAGTGAGATCATATGGTGTTTGTCTTCCTCTATCTGACTTATTTCATTTAGCATAATGCCCTCAAGGTCCATCCATGTTGTGGAAATGGCAATATTTCATTCTTTTCTATGGCTGAATTATATTGTATATATGGTGTATATATATATATCACATTTCTTTATCTATTCATCCATCAATGAACACTTACGTTGTTTCCATATCCTGGCTATTGTAAATAATGCTGCAATGAACATGGGAGTACAGATGCATTTTTTGAGTTAGCTTTTTCATTTCCTTTGATTAAATACCCAGAAGTTGATTTGCTGCATCACAGACTTCTGACTTCATGCCACACCAACTTGTAGTAACACGTGCTGTGCCTGCTTGGTGCCTTTGCAGTGTGCTTTCACACTGGTTCAAGCCCACAATGCTGGACCATCACTCCCATTTTGTAGATAGGGACACTCAGACTCACTGACAAGTGACGTGACCCAACCATGGTCACACAACTTGTTAACGGTGGAAACGGGATTCCATCCCTGGGAACTGGAATGCCAAGCCAGGACTGTTAACTGGTGGATTATTCTGTTCCCATGTGGTAGCTGTAGTGGACATCTGTGCATTTTGCATAAACATCAATTCTTCCTCCCTCTGGTGACCTCACTTGAATTTTCTTTAGGGAATCACACCCACCACAGCCCACCATCACCATCTCAGTCCGTGTGATTTGGGTGAAATTAATATGCCTTGGATTGCAGAGGACGAATGCAAGATGGAACAGGCCCCAAGTTTTGAACTGGCAGAAGAGCAACTGTTGTTCATCCTAGGATCTGCTGAGCTGCAGTGCACAGGCCCCCATGGTCTGCAGCCACTAGGGCCCTTGAGAAATAAACACAACTGTCAGTAAGAGGCTTCAGCCATGACTAATCCCAGGCCACAGATGGTATAGGGACTCAGAGGTGCCCTGAGATGTGAAGTGTTTGGAAAAAAGAACGTCAGCAAGTACACAGAGCAAGGAGGGAGGGAGGGGACAGTCCAACGCAAATAACACAATTAGGCGTCAGAACAGGAATAAACGCACAGACCAGCACCAACGCCGCCTTCCTTATGTGTCCTTGGCTCTACTGCCCTCTAGTGGCCGGACAGGGACCAGCAGGCCGGCTTTAATAGAATTCCAAGTGCTAAAAGAAGGTAAAACTGTTCTCCAATGAGGGAGGATCACAGAGCTTGGAGCATGTGAGAGAAACCAGATCCCCTCCTCTCCACCCCTCAGCCACTGGCCTGGTCCAGCCCCTCCTTCAGCTCTCCTCTGTGCTTCTGCAACAGCCTCCTCACTGGTACTTACAAGAATAATAACACAACCTACTGAACGCTGGCTGCAGGCACTGTGCTAAATGCTTACACACATGGTCTCACTGAATTCTTACAACATCCTTTGGAATTGGGTAGTATCCTATTTACAGATGAGAAAACTGAGGCTCATACAAGTAAGGAAACTTAACCAAAGCCACATGACCAACTATAAGCAGAAAAGAGGAGTGACCACTAATGGGGATAAGCTTTTTTGAGGGGGAGGGTGATAAAATGTCCTAAAATTGATTGTGGTAATGGTTGTACAAGTTTGTGAATATATGAAGATCCACTGAATTGTGTGGCATGCACATTAGTTTCCTATTGCTATTTTGACAAATTGCCACAACCAGGTGGCTTTAAACAACACCAATTTATTATTTTACAGTCTGGAGGTCAAAAACTAAAATCAAGGTGTTGGCAGGGCTGTGTTCCTTCTGGAAGCCCAGGGAGGAATCCGTTTCCTTGCCTTTTCTAGCTTCTGGAGTCTGCCTGTATCCCCTGGCTCTTGACCCCTTACTGCATCTTCCAAGTGTGTCACTTAAACCTCTAGTTCTAACATCACATTTCCTTTTTCTCTCTCATCCTCCTGCCTCCCTCTTATGAGGACCCTTATTATTACACTGCACCCACCTGAATAATCCAGGATAATATCTCCATCTCCAGATCATTAATTTAATCACACACCCTAAGTCATATTTACCAGGCAGGGTAACATACTCACAAGTTCCAGGGATCAGGATGTAGACATCTTTGGGGGCCATCATTCAGCATCACACAATATGTGGATAATAAAGCTGTTATTTTTTTAAGGGAAGGGGAGTGCCTTCTGAACTAAGACCTGAATGCTAAGAAGGACATGGTCTGGGAAGATCAGATCTGGGGAAAGTTCTTCTATGAAACCACTCACTGTATTGTCACCATCTCCATACCAGGCTGTGGGTTCCTGGGGCAGAGACTGGCTGATCTTCACATCTGTACCCTCAGGACCAAGCCCAGGCCTGGCACTGGCTGGGTGATGAGTGACTCAGTGAAGGGATCTTCTTGCCCTTTCGTGTGTTATTTCCCTTCAGTTCACTAAGCCAAACCTTCTCTTCTCTGGTTTCTGCCCATCAGCATCATGACAACTTTGCCACGAAGCTCGAGACAGATCCCTGTGTTGATGGATAACAATCTTAAAAGACTCCCAAACCTTTACGTTTGTGTGGTTATGAAGATACATCTAGACTGGGCTGAACCTAAACAGTTGGGATTGTGGACCCACATGCAGGGCATAACATGTGGAAGAACATAACCTTCAAACTAATATACTGACCGGGGGACCCTGGGCAAGTTCCCTAACCTTCCTGAACCTCAGTTTTCATCTATAAAATGGATCCAAAGTACAGCCATCTGATTTTCCCCTCTCTCTTGTACCAGGCCCAGCATTCAGAGGAATCTCAGACATTTGACCCAGGAACAAAGATTCCTGTCTACAAAGAGGGCAGAAGGGCCTCCCCTCTACTGTGTGTTGAACACAGCATCTCCACTGCCATTTTGGAGACACAGTCTATCATAAATGTCCAATAAATCATCATAGGCCTGGTCATCTTCAACCCGAACACCATGGTGATATCTCACTTCAGGAGAGAAATTTTTCTCCAAGTTGACTTTAATCCCTCCTCGGTACAGTTGATGACCAGGTACTAATTGGCCTTTGCCCTGCCCAGATCTCCTTTGGTCCTCAAGGACATCTTGAGATGTTTAGACAGATTCTGTGCTGTATCTGCACCATTGCCTGACCTGTATTCTAGTAACTTTACCAAGAAGGGAAAAGGTGAGTGTAGCAACTTGTTCTTAGCAAACTCAAGGTGGCTCCAATGACCACTGTTCCCTTTAGCTACAGCACCTTTCAAAAACAATTAATTACCAGAAGAGGAACCTGGTGATGTTTCAGCCAGGTAAATTCTACCCAGTGACTTTGTTGCTATGACACTGCTGGTCAGGTGGGCATATTTTCACACTCTGCCTGCTTCTCCCACGGGGTGAAAGACTGAGGTGATGGATGCTATGATGTTTAAGCATCATGGCTTATGGCTCCATGTGAGCAAAAATTCAAACATATGAACTGCTAGTAAATTTGTAATCATTGTCTGAATATTTTTCAAGTTACTGTCCCTAAATGCTAACAATGGGTCTTAGTCCCATAAATGGGTACTAAAAAAAATAAGTTTTAAATATTCTTTTGTCCAATTACCACCTCCTTTTTTTTTGAAGGCTATACTATCTTACTGACAACTCTACAACTCTCCCTTTTGTACACAGTGTGATTAACCCCGAGGACAATGAAAACCTCATAAAGTAAGAAGGTTTATAAAGCACACAAATATAATACTAACACCTATATAACAATAAAGTTGCTACTATTGAATGACCACAATGTGCCAGATCCCTTACATATGCCAACTTAGCCATCATAAGTTGCACTATTATTATGTACATTTTAAAGATAAGAAAAATAACGGTGGTGAAGTAATTTGGCCAAATTTTTCCAGAACCAGGATTTCAACCCAGGTCTATCAGACTCTGCCCTACTCATCCAGCCACACTACCAACCAGTCCAAACTGAAATTATCCAGACACCCTCCCTTCCTTTTCTCCCCAAGCCCATCTCACATTCCACCTGAACTTCTCCACATCCCAGGACCCTGCCGCCACCTTGGCTTTGCTCCAACCCCCAGCATGCCTTCTCCCACACCCTCTGCCCGATATTCACACCCTCCATATTCAAGACTTGCACTGCGTCCAC